CCCCCCCCCCCCCCCCCCCCCCCCCCCCCCCCCCCCCCCCCCCAACCCCAGGCTCAAGGAATCTGAGCATTCTGTTTCTTGTGTTCAGTTTGGGAAAATGCACAGGGTAGGGGTGTCTGTTCACTTTTATTCTGTGCACTTCTGTATTGGAATCAAAAGTCCCGAGAACTAGGAAGGCTCAAGAGAGCAGAGGGCGGCAGAGGTGCTGCCCCTGCGCCTGCCTGCGGAGTGGAAGGTGGGTCACAGATAGAGCAGGACCAGCTAACCCTCCTCTCCTCCCACCACCTCTACCAACCAGGCAGCGTAGCTTCCCTCAAGAAAAGGTCTAAGTGACATTTATAGGGCAGGAAGAGAGCTGTTCCCTCTGTTCACTCTGGTCTGTCACTTTTTGGTTAGAAGGAAAGGCTCTTCAAGTGTTTCTTCAGACAGAGCTCTGACAGAGCACTCTGCCTGACTAAGTTGGGGAAGCTGCAGTCCCCATGTCTGCCCTGAAGGGAAGCACCAGTTGTCAGAATAACAAGAGACCAGAACCCAAGGCTCCCAAACCGTTGGAGTGTTCAGCTTGCAGTCTGTGGGTTTCACCACAGCACAGGAGGCTCAGGGCCCACTCTATGAAAACACTGCCGGCTCCTGTACCAATCTTTTGCTATTGCTAAGAATCAGCTCCAGTTAGGGCTGGGATAATAAGAACAGGCCCACTGGGAGAAGGCCAACCTAAAGAATAAGATTGAGACATGCCTCTTCCTTAGCAGGAGGGAGAAGGGTGGTGTTTGCTCCTACTTTGTTTCCCTACAGAAACTGCTATCTTAGGTAAATAAACCCTGATAAATGACAAGGGAGATTTTCCCAAGGCCTAGATTATCCTCAGGCTGTGTTTTGGTGGGTGGTCCTCTCTCAGCAGTTCCAGTAATCCAGAATGATCCCGGGCAATTGGAAGGGAGCAAGCCTGTATTGAAGCCAAGAAGTGATGGCAGTAGCTCCCCAGCCCTGTGTGTCAATGTGACATAAAGAAGGTTGGATTTGCCCGAGATGGACAGGGCTGGTGGAAACCAGTACTGACAGGGACAGAGGACATCTGAGAGGGTTTCTTAGTCTTTGTTTAAAAAGGAAGATATAGCTGGCTGAATATAGAAAAAGAAAAATCAAAGACAGGCACATAAGGATGCTTAGACATTCAAAGAGTATCTGGGCCCATCTGTCTGATCAAGGTGTCTTAGGAGCAGGAGGGCACAGGCTGCAGAGGCCTGGCCCAAAGTTTTCCCCAGAAATCACTCACTACCTTAAGAAAAAACTGCCCAAGTGGTGGTCACTTGCCACTGCTACCTCGCTACCTAGGCCATTCTGTGTTGGCTAAGATCTAAAGGAGCCCCGGTTATCTGCAGGCTGGAAGTGGAGCAGTTGGAGCAAAGGAGAAGGGCAGGATTCTGAGGTTGACCCTGTCCTCTCCCCTACCTAAGTCATCCTGGAGTTAGGAAAAGCTGGAACCAGGATGGAGCTCTCTGAGATCCAACGGCCCTTCCCTTCGAAGAATGACCCTGATTTTCCTTCACATAGACAAGCAGTCAACGCACTGTTCCGTTGTTCCCCGTGTTGGTAGTTAGAAAACAGTCCACACACACCCCTTCTGAGTGACAGTGTGCCTCAGTGACCCCCCACCATGTCCCAGAACCTTCACCCGAGCTGGAGCATCTCCTTCCCACCCTCCAGGAACGCGAAGGACAGCGGAGCCGAGGGGGCAGCGCGTGACCCCAAGCGGAAGGGCCCCAGTCTGGGTCCTAATGCGGGTGGCGTCTCTCTTGACAGGCAGCGTTTGGGGACAACAGCGGGGAAGGGAGATAAGATGACATACCAGAGCAGATTTGGTGTGCGCGCTGATACTCCTGGCCCGACAGGAAACTCGGAGCTATTTAAAAAGACCCTATCGATTACTTTATCTTCCCCCGAGGAAAGCTTCTTGCGGAGAGACAAAAGATGTCCCTTACCTAAAGATACAAAGCCACACAGCAGAGGGTTTGTACAGGCGACGCGCGAGTAGAGCCCTGGGAGCGCAAAGATGCCCTTACACCCGGCAGAGACCGTGAAGTTTGACTGGAGTGAGGCGGGGCGGAGCCACCTCCCGGCCCCTGTACACTCCGGAATTGTGAGCTCTCCCGCAAAGTCCCCGCGCGTGTTGTTCACACTAACTGGTGTGCCTCTGGGTTCTATCTGTACTCCTCCCAAGTTTAAATGTTCCTTTTAAGGGCCTGAGTGTCTGCAGCCGTCATGTGCACCTTGAAAGCGTGGCGTGTGACATTGAGTTTCTTAAACGTCCCCATCCCGCTTTCCGCGCTGGCCAAATGCGAGGGAGCGGTGGTTCCCATAACCCGGAGTTCCATGGCCCCGAAGTCCCGGGCCACCCAGGGAGGCTCCAGGTAGATCCTGATTCCCAACTGTCGGTAGTCTGGGCTTTCTCCGTGTGACACTTTGCCGCCTCTCACAATCCGCTCGGCCCGCGTGGGAGAACGCGGCATGTCCCGTGGGACACCCGCTTATTTTATTCGGTTAAGGGTTGTAGAACACCGTCTGAGAGAAAAAGACAGTGCGGAGGGAGAAAGGGCAGCGATGATCCTGGGACCCTGCGGTGACCACTTACAGCCTGATGCACGCTCACCGGAGACCCCAGCAGTCCTGGAAGGAGGCGGAGGCTCCGCGGCTGCCGGCTGGGTTTCCTCCACCCGGATCAGGCAGTGACCCTTCATCTCAGACCACAGCCCGCGCCACACTCGGAGACCCGGCTCGTCTGCGAAGCTAGGAGCGAAACCCTGCGGGTGACCCGCAGCTACGCGTCGCTCAATCTGAGCTCTCACGCCCAAGGAGTCTGCAGAGCCTCCTCCCAGAACTCCACGCCGCTAGCCGAGCTCTGAAAGCACTGCTCTCTCTTAGCTGAATATTGAAGCCTTGATCCACTTCAATGTCACCTGATTTTTTAAATTATCACCTTCTGAGACCCGATCCGTGGGAACCTGCAGAGCCTCCACGTTTGCACGCTGTTTTCGCTGTAGCAGTTTGCAGCGGTCAGAGCAGGAGGACCTTGTTACTGGCACTGTGGAACCAAGAGCTTGGAGGGAAAGAAAACGAAGATAAGGAAACTGGCTGCAGAAGTCGGAAAGCGGCTCCCATCGGATCCATCAAACTGATCGAAGTCAGCAAATGACCAAAGAGAAATTTCCCCTTTTGGAAACACCCCCGCCAAAAACACGAGGAGAGTGTGCGCAGCAAGAAACTAAGGACAAATTTTAGGTGCAAAAAATATTAAAGAGTACGCAGAATTTCGAAAAACGGACATTCTGTCATTTGACGTTTTTCCATAAACATACAAATGAAATCCGTGGAAGCTCTACGTCTTCAAGTCTGTGACAGACCCTGGACCGACTAACAGGGAAGAGCTCATTTAAAATGTCAGAGGTTCCTGTATTTCTCCGAACTTTTCACGAGCCTTTCCACGTGTCCAGACTCACGGGACAGTCTACTTATGACCCTGTTCATTGTAGTCCAGACTTAACTATGTCTCAGTAAAGTGACTCGTAGTCAGCACTTGACCAGCATATGAGGCCTCTAAGTCCAGTCCCCAAAAACAAGTAGAATATATATATTTATATATAAATTATATATTATGTGTGTATATACACCATACACACACGTGTATGTAAATATATCTTGGGTAAGGCAGCTGGAGACTGAGGAGCTTGCTGTATAAATTCCCCCTTTCCACGTTTGTTGTTTGGTTTTGTGATGTGGTTCCTACTTTTTAAAATAAAAGTAGTCATTGCTCTAACTGTCTTATCTATTGCTAAGGAAACCAACCACAGCTGGACAGGAAGCAGTCCAGATTGATCAAGTTCACAAAATTCTTTGGAAAGAGGGATATTGTTAACATTCGGATCTGTTTTCTTTTTGTTTGTTTTGGTTTTTACATATATTTAACCCTGAGGAGAAAGGAGAATCCAGGATTTTTCTGGTGGTTACCTGTGGTGGTGTGCAGGTCTCCCCCAGTAGCCTAGGGCAATTGGACCAAGCAACAGGAGGCTTGGGAATGCTGTTGCAAAGGGCTCCGCGAGTCAAGCCGCAGCTCAATCCCGCTCTAGGCAAAAGGGGAACCCGCGGTCCTTCTGGGTATGGCTGGAGTGGCACACTTCCACACTTCTACCTGGAAACCTTTCCTTGTGAGAAAGTGGAAAAGTGGTGTCCCTCTGGAGTCAAAAGGTCCAAAGTGGCCCTATGACAGGTGAAAGAGTGTAGAACCACAAAAGCTCCCACCGTATATAAGGGAACCATGGAGGAACTATTTGTACTAATTCCTGTACCCCAAGATAGGAAAGAGTCACCTCAATATTGTTGGTAAGACTATAGATCTAGTTACAGTTTATTAGAGAGGTGACTAGAGCTGCCCACTCACCCGGGAAAGGATGGACAAACAGGCCTAAGCTAGGCTAGGCTGCCGAACTCCTCCCCCAGCTGGGCCAGTACCTAGGCATGGTGGAGGATTGTGTGACCACACCTTTGGCCAGCCTCCTTCTCTCACTCCCTTGGTGCACTGAGAGACAAGACGTGGAAACTGTCTTTCAGTGAGCCTGCTCCAGTATGCCTTCAGGTGGGCGCTCTGAGACCAAAGCCTACTTCAGGGGAAGCCAGAGGGCAACTTCGCTGGAGGGAGGCTGGGATCAGATCCTGCTGGACAAAGCTCATGCGCACACACAAACACACGCACACAAACACACACCACACACACACACACACACACACACACACACACACTTGGGGCCCTGGCCCATCCTTTCTAATCCACCGTGATGAGTTTACTGGACTGCCGCTTAGACTGTCTGTCACAAACTTCACTTTACCTTTGATTTTTTTTTTAACTCCAAAATGAGAGGAAAGCATATAAATCTACAATTTTAACCTTTGCCTCCAGAATTCTGGTTCTGATACTTCCATAGCTCCGAAAGCAAAAACAAAACAAAACAAAACAAACAAAATTCTGTTCTCTCAAGATTACTATAATATACTATGATGTTTAATTCTAGATTCCCCCCCCATATTCTTCCTTCAAAGCTTCCTTAACATTTGTTAATCCTCAGTTTAAAAAAATAAGTTGACACCTCTATCTTCCCCAGGTATAGGGGCTCACGCCTGTTATTCCCAACTTAGGTAACTGGGGCTGGAGGGTTGCTGGAGGATTGGAGTTTTGAGGCCAGGACTATAGAACACTGAACAGCAACAGAAATAGACAGTGTTGACAGAGGACAATGTAGTCTTGAGACCCTAGCTAGATAGTTAGACAGACAGACAGACAGACAGACAGACAGACACATGCTGGAGATTGGTAAAGGGTGGTTGCTAACTAGTCTGAGGATTTAAATTCATACAAGAAGAGAGCTGACTCCAGTAAATGGTCCTCTGACACCCTCACACACATAAATGTTAAACAAGTAAGTAAAACCCAAACTTTTAGTATAGCTCAGCGAGTGAAGGCTTGCTTCCATACACGCTGTACCAGAAAAGAAAGAGTCTGTGTGTCTTGGTTTGCTATTTAATGTATCATAAAATGTAGCCATACTGATAAATATTAGTATAGCTAGACATACAAATGGAACTCTTTCTCTCCTACATCTGCAGTTTCTTTTGGTATAACATAATTTTTTAACTTGTCCCCCAAAATAAATATACTGGTTTTTTTAAAAGAAAATTCATTCTTAAAAAAATTAAAGTGCAGAGGAAGTATTTTATTTGTATATGCATGTGTATCTGCAAAAAGTTTCTAGACATGAAAACATACCATCATATGGTTTGTACATTTTACATGTTGACAGAAACAGACTGCTCCAGAGAGGCTTTTCAATTTATTCTTCCATTAAACCACACTGGAAGGTCACTTGGCAGAAACCAGCAGAGCTCAGGCCTCAGGAATGCCAGGCAAGGCCTCTTCCATTCGGCTATGTCCACAGTACGAATGGATGTGTAGGGTTTTATTTCTTAATCTTGCTCAAAACATTTTATTATTTATTGGGAAGCTAGGGGTGTCAATATTTTTTTACATTTGTTAATATAATTAACTCTCCAATTTAGTTGACATTCCTCAACTTTTCTTTTTTATTTACTTTCTTCCCAACCCCTTTTTTTCCCCAGCAAGGTTCTACTAGTCTTGGCCAATATTACAATTGTTCTGTTGAGCAATTTCCTTATTGATTTACCAGAACATGTTCTAGATATATTATTAAAATTCATAATTTCATTATGTATTCCTACTATTGTTCTCTCTTGATTATTTTTTTTCTTTAGCTCTATTTATGGTATCCTTGACAACATTTTAAAGCAATCTCCTATGGTTTCTCAATCTTTTCTACTAATCACTCTCCCTCAAAAATAAGCAAATATTCCAAATTATTATCCTTATCAGGGGTAACATTTAAAGATCACAGCATGTGTGTTGTACATGAGTCCCAATGCATGTGTGCCCTAACGTGTATGCATGCCCTGGTGCACATATGGAGGTCAGATTCCTGAGAATCACATTCAGGTCCAGCTTGTCTGGCAAGCATTTACCCACCTGGCCAATGTGGATGAAGGGGTGGAGAAAATCAGGCCAAACACCCCAAAGAGAGTTGAGTCTGGAGTCTTCAAGAAACAGGTGGAAGTCCTGACTTCTCTGGACAGAAAGGTACACACTCCTTTACCAGGTTGCTCGGCTTCTCTCCTCTTCGGTTTTCAGTTCTTTCTATGACCAGGATAGCTTTGCCTTGAAAGCAGCACATTGGGGGCTACTCTGTGCCTGGCTCAGTCCTTATACCTTGGGGCAGAGCCAAAAACCCTAGGCTTGTGACCAGGACCTCAAATATATGGAGTTAGTATTTCCAGGGCTCTCTGCCTGACAAGCTACAAAGCAGGACTGTTAGCAGATACGGTGAGCTCAGCCCGAAATGAAAATCTGGAAACTTGTAAAAAAAAAAAAACCAATAACAACCATTAAGAATCATGATACAGCAAGAACAGAATATCACAGGAAACTCAGTCCCCACTGGGGAAGGGCAAGATTGCCAATAGGGAGAAAAGAGGAAGGGGTTTCCAGTCTGCGAAGGTAGATTATTCAGAATAGCAAAAGGCACAGACACCCAAATAGCAGTCCACTAATGAACTAGTCAACAAAAAACGGCATATTTGCACAACTGGATATTATTTAACTGTACTGATAAATGTCACAATGTGAAGGAATCTGATAAACCCTACGTTAATCGAGAGACACCAGACACAAAAGGTCACATATGGTATGAGCTTCTTTGTATGACCCACTCAGGAGATGCAAATCCATAGAGGCTGGAAGTAGATTAGCGGTGAGTGGTGCGCAGAGGTTGAAGGTTGAAAGTTTCTTGGGGGTGGGTGACCTCAAATTGATTGTGGAGTATGGTGAGTGAAATAGACCTTAGCAAAAAA